GTAACACTTGCTCAACCATGTCATATAGACTTCAGTATCTAGAATATAACAGTGAATCCTATTGCAGTGTAAAATATTGTGTCATTGTATCATGTCTAGCATGTTAGATTGTGATTAGTATGTCAACTTGGGGCTAACATATTAGCTTATGACTAGTGTTAGATTGGGAAGCTATAAAGCACAGTGTTTGTTTTATATATTGTACTTCTGTAATGTTGAATGCTCTAACTGAAAATGAAAAAAACATATTAATGTAAGGCACATATTCAGCCAGTCCTTATTTTTGCTGTATATAAAAATGTATAGAATCAAGATGCCTCTGTATCGCATCGAACTGAATTTTGAGTTTTGTGAACAGTTACACCTCTCCTGTTTATGCATACTGTGTTATTGTGTGATATGGAAAAACAGATAAAAGTTATCTGTATTACAGTCTTTTCCCAAATAATCTTCGTAAAGTTCTAGCTTTGCCACTTGAACACTAGAAGGGAAGCGTGTACAGATAACATGTTATGGTCCCCCACTAGCTTGATGGCTTGGTGGCAATCCTTGAGTTGCTAACTATCTTAGCACTTAGCACTCTTAGAACTATGCTGGCTAGTATCTAAACTCGTCACTAACAGTGTACCTTTAACTTTAAATTGTCTCTATGTTGATGGTAATGTAAACCAGTCAAACCTACTCTTTGTGTAGAAGTGTTTTAATCGAATAAAATATCACATAAGTTGAAATGTCATAAGAAATAACATATGAAATTGCTTGAATTTTATGCCTTAATTCTTGGACAGACCAAATCCAGAATGGTTCAGGAAAATCCTGGACAGATGGCAACTCTAAATCTTGCTATCAGTTAGCCTAGCAGTTTGTTAAATAGTATCTGCTCAGTGCTACTATCATTGCAGCACAGTATTCATTTTCTAATGAATGAACCACCAGAAGAGAGCAGTGAACCTTCTGCTTCACATATTGAACAGGTTTGAGAGCTGAAAGGATGTTTCTTCTTGCCTATTGTACTTACTGTCATGAGCTTGGCTTAGATATTTCTTCTTGCTTATTACTGTCATGATTATGTGTGTGGGAAATCCATTGTGAAGTTTAATAGTTCTGTCCAGCAGTGTAAACAAGGGTCTTGACCAGTTTTGGGCAATTTTAATGAAGATGGCTCATAAGGGGGAGTTTTGCAAAACAGATGACTGGTGTATTAAATTCTGTATTTGAGTAAAGATCTTGGGTCTGAGCCCATGACCCATTCAAAAAGACACAAACCAGGTATATTGACTGGCCAACACTGTCTGCTTTGCAGTTATGATGTAAGTAATTTCAGTATTAGGTCCTGGACAGAATTGCAGGAATTTGTGTTGTACATGTAAATGCAATTAGATGAAATGTCATATACTACCCTTCAGAAGTTTTGAATCCCTTGTCATATTGAGTTTTTGTCATTTTATATATAATAATACTTACAACACTGTTTCAGTTGGTACACTGTGCAAAATGTAAATAAAAATAAAATGCTATGATCAATTCAATTACAAATTATTACAAATCAATTAAACCCTATATTTAATTGTCAATAATACAAAGACAACGTATCAAATGTTAAAACTGAGAAACTTTATTGTTTTTTGAAAAAAAAATTCCCATTTTAAATTTGATGCCAGCAACACATTTCAAAAAAGTTGGGACAGGGGCATGTTTACCACTGTGTTGCATCACCTCTTCGTTTAACAACCCTCTCTAATTGTTTGGGAACTGAGGAGACCAGCTGCTGTAGTTCTGAACATATGCACTGTTTTTAATGACTGACAGGTCTTGACTGCAGACAGGCCAATTTAGCACCTGGACTCTTTTACTATGGAGCTATGCTGTTGTAAATCATGCAGAATGTGGTTTGGCATTGTCTTGCTGAAGTAAGCAAGGCCTTCCCTGAAAAAGACGTTGTCTGGATGGCAGCACATGTTGCTCCAAAATCTGCTTATGTCGTTCAGTGTTAATGGTGCCTTCACAAATGTGCAGGTCACCCATGCCATGTGCACTAATGCACCCCCATACCATCAGGGATGCTGGCTTAGTTTTTGGCCTTGTCCCTTGTGTACAGAGATTTCACTGGATTCTCTGAAACTTTAATGATTTATGTATTGTAGATGATGAAATCCCTAGGTTCTTTGTTATTTTATGTCATGCTTCAATTGTTGCACTATTTGCCTGCACAGTCTTTCACAGAGTGATGATCCCCTCCCCATTTTTACTTCTGAAACAGTCATGTTACTGACCTGCTGCCAGTTAACCTAATTAGTTGTGAGATGTTTCACCAGGTGTTTTTAGCATGAAACAACTACCCATCTTTTGTTGCTCCAGTCCCAACTTTTTTGGAACATGTTGCTGGCATCAAATTCAAAATGGACATATATTTTTTCCAAAAAACATTAAAATTCCAGCATTTGATATGTCTTTGTACTAGTTTCAATTAAGTAAAGAGTTTAATTTTTACTGCTATTAAAATCACTTATACAAATAAGAAAACACAAGTAGGTTCACTGATTATTTTGGATAGCAATTAAAATAACTAAATTGATATTGTAGATATCATGACCCCTGGTTCCTATCAGAACTGCTGTAAAGTATGGGGCAGTAAGTTTCACTATATTCCAGTATTTCACATCAAAACAGTCTGAATAACTTTGTTTACATTTTAATGACAGTTATGCAGTTATGCAGAATTAAAAAAAAAAATAGTGGAATTCCTCTTGAAGTATTTCAGGTATTTTGGGAACAATACAAATACTAAAAACCAAATAATGTACTCTAATTATTTATTTACAGTGATTTTTTTTGTAAAATTATCAGCCTCTAGATGTGATCAGTACTTTGGAAATATGAGCCCCGGTTATCATTCCGGTTAACACCTTTAAAACATTTTTTACAGTTTCCCAACTTCTTACTAATTATGAAACCTGTGAAGTTGAACTGTGTTTGAAGATTAGAATCTTATATAAAATTTTAAAATTAAAAATTTTAAAATGTAACATTTTATACACTTATTGGCATTCAGATTGGTTTTATATCATTGGAAAAATTGGGCCTCTTTCACCAACCATTCTTAAGAAGAAATTTCTTCTTAAAACCCACTCATGCAGTTTTCGCAAAGATTCTGACAATGACCAATGTTTTCTTATTTGCGATTTGTTCTTAGGTAAGAACAGAATCTACACACTCTCAAGAGCACAAAGGTACGAATAATTCTGCGGTTGAAGAACATGTCATGAATCTGACGTAGACTTTTCTTAGAACCCTTTCTATTTACACATTTAACAAATTTAAGAAAAAACGTAGGAGGATACTGGTGAATGAGGTCTGTTGAAGTTTTGAACGGTAGTGCATTTTGCTCAGATTTAGTAGTACAGGAATTGGTATTGATGGTAAATGCTGAATGAGTGCACTGTTATCTTCATGCAGTGATCTCACACTGTGTATCGTGAGGTCACTCTGATCCTGACACATACAGGAAGTGATAGCCATCAGAAGATGAGGTAGCCCTCCTAGTACAGGCTTCAAAGATTCCTCAGGAGTGAGAGATTACTCAGAGAGACAGAGAGAGAAAGAGAGGGACAGGGCAGAGAGGGAGAGATAGAGAGAGGGAAGTGATACTTGTGCACTGTTGGTGCTACATTACACACTTTTTAAATAGTATATAAACATTAGTTTCAAAATGCACTGTTCACTCTCTGGTCCATGTAGTCCGTATAAGGAAATCTGAGCTGCAAAACAGCCCATTTTGAATGAATTGTTTTTATGATGATGCAAATTCCAATGCATTTGCATATATCTGCCTGTTCAGCCTACAGCAGGCCAGTAACACTGAAGTTATAAGAAATGTTTCTGCCCAGACTGCTTTTTAAATAAAGGGCAGCCAGTCAAAACAGAGGTAATTTACAAATATCAGTTTTAAAGGCACAATAACAAAACAGCCCGTTTAATATACATATGCTGAAAGAAAACTGAAAAAAACCTTAGTTGCTTTAAAAGTTCTTTGAACTACCAATAATAAGCCAACAGAATGTGAAATGTACATTATTGTTCAATGAACTCAAAATTTTAAGGCAACCCAGTTACTTCCTTTTTTAACTTAACCCTTGTGTGGTGTTCATATTTTTGTTACTCTGTGGTCTGGTGGACCCACTGCATTATTGTTTATTGTTTAAATCAATACAGCCATAACAAATTATGTAAAAATACCAGATCTTTAAAATATCACAAGTGTCCAGCATACGGTTCAGCAGGCCATGTAGGAGGAGAACAGAGTGAAGGGACACAGCACCCCTACATTTTTATTCCCTGCGGGTTTACCCCAACACCACATGTGTAATATAAATGTGTAGGGGGGTGAACAGTGTGAAGACATTGAAATTGTGTAATTGTATATGTTCTTCACGGAAAAATGAGCAAAGGCCAAGAAATCTGAGCTTGAAATAATAATAAATCACGTAATTCTTTCTTTTGGTAAACATTGAAAATGAGTCCCACAGACCCGAACACCACACAAGGGTTAAAAATCTCTTCTCTTTTTCAGTGTATAAAAATATACAGGGTATGGCTGCTTTAATTTAAGATAAGTCAGAAAAGAAAAGATCAGCTTGATAGTTCCCCAAACAATTATTCAGAGAGTGTACTGATTCTGTCTTCTTTTAGCGAGGCTTTGATTTAACCCGTGGTGCTCACAAGAGAGAAATAGGAAACGGATATTGAAAGATTTGATAGGCTTGGCTTTTTCTCCCTCCCCTCAGTACACTCCTCCATCTCTCTCTTTCTCTCTTTCTGTGTCTTTGTCTCCCCATCCCTCTCTCTACCTCTCTCCACCCCCCCCCGTCTCTCTCTGTCTCTCTCTGTCTCTCTCACACACACATGCGGGTAATAGCAGTGCCACGCTGTGGCTGTCACTCTCTCGGCAAGAGGGCGAGAGGCAAAGGCAGGAATGAAAGAGCAGTTTCATTCTCTGGGGACTGGATGGAGTTTATGCTCTTCAGACAACTAGAGCATCCAGGATTTCCTTTTAAGGCTGGAGGGATATGTGAAAGCAGAATGAGGCTGGCCTCTACTGAACAGGACTGTGGTACGTTTTGCTCTGCCAAGTCCTTCTGCATAGAACTGAGTCATACTACACATTTGCAGCTTAGAACAGCTGGACTTTTCATTACAAAAGGAAGAATCATGTTACATCATGCTGGGAATTAGGCAGAGTATTGGGAGCTAGTTCTGTGTAATATATCATATCTGTACCGGTGTACAAGTATTGGTGTCCCACCACGATACTGATATATTTTAGTTTTAGCAGTATGGATAAATAACATATCTTTGTTAATTGCAATGTATGTCATTTTTCAGGTGCTTCAGATAATTTTGAACAGTTTAAAATATATACAAACTAAATAAATAGCACGCTCCCCTTCTAGGAATATGGTTTCAATCTTGATAATTTTTCATAAAATGGATTTTAGCACAGAGTACCAGTAAACATGAAGTATGAGTTCATTTTTTTTGTTTATGCAAATGTTATCACCTGATACTGTGATATATTTTGAAATTGTTTAAATGTAGAATTTTTTATCAGTACTGCGCACTACTTTATTATAGAGTGACAGGAAACTTGGCATGTTAGCCTGTGTTCTTGTAAACAGATGTTTCAGTCTGATTCCACAGTGATACTGTACCTGCAACAGTTATAGATGGGTTTTTGAACTCATTTGTTCTTGTGGTCTCTCTGCCCTTTGTATTTAATGTCTGCTGCTAAATCAGTTCCACCAGTGTCATCCATGTGTTTAACTAGCTGGAAAAAATAAAGCAAACTTTAGATGGAGTATAAATGTCAGGAAGTCATATTAGCCGAATAATTCATCTGATCGGTCCATTTCTATAGGTGACTGCAGAGCTGAGTGTTCAGGGTGAATATTAAAATGGTCATACAGACAGGCTGGCTGGATATATTGATTTCCTGTAGCACATCTAGACCATTGGTTGGCCTAGATATTCAACACTGAATAATGTGGAAGAGATAACCTTATAATAGCCTGCTGCACTGTGGGCCTGTCATCAGCTGAATCATTGCTACTGTTTTTGTCTCAAGGAAGCTAGAAGTGACCTGCAATGATGTCTACTTCATTGCAAGTCATCTTCACTTTTACACTGTGCTGTACAGAAGAGCAGTTTCACTTTGAGTTCAATGATTGCATTTCTTTTTAGCACAGTGTCAGAGACCATGTTTATTCTGGATGAGAAAGTGAAAGTGAACAAAAGAGAAGAAGAAGCCACAGAAATGTTCTCTGTAAAGAATTCTCATAATTTCAGGATATAATATTATAGATACATACTAGTTTACCACATGCAGTTGATCACGTGCTTTATGGACTGCTGTAGGCTGTGAACAACACATGCATGATTAGTGAGTTGTATGGTAATATGGGCAAAGTACTATTAATGGGATTATATGTAATGGTTTTCAATTTTAAATGATTTTAAAAATTCTGTAAGTACAGTAAATCTGATTTAACACATTTGTTTTGTAGTTACACTGAATGACCGAGAACTAGCATATGTGTGCAGATGAGTGGACATGCCATTGTTGCTTCGTTCTAATGCACAAACCATGGGCTAATATGTTAAACTGAGCTAATGCACTAGCCCCAAGCTAACATACTAGCCACAAGCCAATATACACTTACAAGGAGTATGCTTTTCCTCTGTAAAGAGGAAGCATTTTTCTAGAAAAGGAATGATCTGCCCTTGTTGTAGTCTTGGTTGCTTTGCAGTACATTAAAAACTGATCTGTCAGGGGCTCCTGAATGCAGTCACCCTGTTGTCAGAGGATTTCGAGTTGGATCCCAACAATGTCACAGCCGTCTGTGGCCAGAAGCCCAAAAGAAGATAACTGGCCTTACTCTCTTTCGGCACGATGATTGCCAGTGCTACCTGTTAGCTGACACAACAGAATTGTCAGGTAGTGTTGTCCTCCAAGTGTATTGAGCTCTCCAGTGACAGTTCCAAAAAGATGCATGTGTCAGAGGAAACATGTGCTAGCCATCACTTTCTCAGCTTGGCAGCATCATATAATGGGGGAGATCTAGCTAGAGGGCAGAATTGAAACTAAATTAAGGAGAAAACTAGGTAAAAATAAACACAAAAAAACAAATATGGTTGAAGATTAGCCTGTATTATATTGACCGAATTTTGTTGGATTATACAATTACTTTACATAATTTATCAAGACCAACAGAAGTACTCATATGGATTCTTACAGCACACAGTGAGTAACGTTGTGATTGGTTTGAGGGTTCTTTTATTTATTGCAGCCTTGCATATGTCAGCATAGCAAAGGCCAAAACCACAGTAACATTTAACAACAAATACTATTTCCACCTCTCATGAGGTATAAACAGAGAGCAAGCATGACTTCATGTTTATGCTGAAGAATGTCTGGCTGTATCATATAAATATCCATATATTTTATTTTCAGTCTATGTGCCTTGTCTCGTCACAGAACAGCCAGTCTCTTTGGGAGATACCAGAGAGATCATCAAGCACCAGGCTAGGCAGATTAACGAGTAGCTCATTCTTTCATCACACAACTCGAGTATTAACAGACCAGACATCTGCTTACTGAATGCAGATTAATTCTGGAGAATTACATAGGGAAGAGGCATCAGTGAAGCCTGGTGATAATGGAGAGAGCTAATCAGAAAGTGTGAGTGCACGAGAGGATTTGATGCCTGTAGCCTCACTGCTGAGCTTTTGACAGATGAATATAAACGTTCTTGGTGTCTTGCGCAAGACACTACTGAAACCACATGCCACTATTTGGTGTTTTATGTGTCTTTGTTGGTTGGTGCTAAGAGAGAAGAGGTGTAGTGGGAAATACATGCATACAGACATTCCTCTTTGCTGAAAAGTGCTGAGATAAAAGTCTTTTCCATTTCGGGCCTCTCTAATGTGTCAACAGGCGAGTGACGGCCAATTTCTACACAAGCAGAGCATCAAAGGGACTGCCAATGGATTTGCATCCTAAATTACCCCCATGGCTTTCCCCTTCATATATTAAACATAATCTGGCAGCTTTTTAGTTATTCATTCATGTGCTTCTTTCTCTCCCTCCTTCCCTTGTTCCCTCTCCCCCTTTTCTTTCTCCTGTCAGTTCTTTCAGAAGGCCCCATCAGAAGGATCTAGTGCTTTTTCACCATGAGCATCGCAGTGTCACCGGTTGCCAGTGAGGCTGCCTCACCTATGATAACCTCTGTCACACCCACCCTGGAGTCCAGTCCGAAGGAGGAGCAGCCAGGCCCCTGTGGGCCCAGTAGCAGCGGGGATGGGATGAGTCAGGGCCGGGACCCCTGCCGGAGTTACCAGAAACCACCTCCCCTTCACACCGGAGCAGACTGGAAGGTGGTGCTTCACCTGCCGGAGATAGAGACCTGGCTGAGAGCCACAACGGATAGAGTGAGAGGTCTCACTCACTCCGTCCAGCAGGACAGCCTCAACAAACATGTGGACGTTCATCTGGTGCAGCTGAAGGTAAGAGAAAATGTGCGCTTTACTACAGATTATAATTCTATAAGCCAGGGGTTCATTACTTTGGGGAAATGATCCAAAAGAACATACATTTCCAGTGACCCCTTTCGATTAAGGCTGTCACGATTTATCGCTTCAACTCACTTATTCGATTGAAAACATTGGTTCTAATTTACCTTTTCAGTGAATTGTCACTGATTAATTGGCACTTTGCATGACAATAATGCCTATTTTAAATTTACCTACTGATCTGTCATATAGTAAAAAATAAAATGATTGACCCATTTAGATGCATTTTTTTGTTTTTTTTTATAGATATTTTTAAAGAAGCCTTATTTTAAATGGCTTCCTGGCTTATCTTTTCCCAGCAAAGTATTCTGGAATCTTTGAAAGTCTATGCATGGTTTATTATTCAGTTAAAGGGGAATTCCACAGATTTCCAAAATTTTTGCATAATTAAATTGGTAAGACATAAATAAAAACATTCAGAGTGGTTTGATGTGAAATGATTTGTTCTAGAGAAACTTACCAATGCAACTAGATAGGATCCAGACATCTGAAGAGTTATGACATGAAATGGTTAAGAATACACTATCTGATTCCTGAGTCATAGTCTTACTTTAATTCTGAGATAAGAATATGGCCTAAAACCAATTAAATTGCCTGTTACTACATTAACTAACTTAGGCTGAACTGACACACAATTTTTTACAGTGTAGGAAGATTGTGATACAGGCTTTCAAAAAGCAATTTTGATACTGTATATACACAGTGTGATGTACAACTCATCACCTCTTATTCTCTCATTCAGCTTTATGGCATAATGCATGACCAGCTCACCAATATATCACTAGTTAAAGGTCGTTGAGATGTTGAAGACATGTGTGGGTTCATTGATGGGTTTGGGTAGTAAGTAAAATGCCTACATTTGCATTGAAAACACCCAACCGTTGGTTCCTATAACACAACAGTAAAGAAATCTGTAAGTCTGTAAGTTTGTCTGTAATGCACCATTTTACAGTAAACCACTTTGAATGACTTTGTTTTCATTTCAACAATTGAACTATGTAGAAATTGTGAAAATTCAGTGGAATTCCCCTTTGAGTCCATTTTAAAGCATTTTGAAATGCTTTGGAATTATGGAATTCTGATTACTCAATTAATCATACAAATAGTTGGTAGATTACTAAATTACTGATATGAAAAATATTAACATCTTCTTTAGATTTCAGATTTATGATTCAGGATTATTGTCACCTTTGAACAGCTAATCTTGTCTGTAACAGTCAGAAATATGTGATGCAGCAACAAAGGAATATTTCTTGCACCTACGCACCAGTCATGCTTGCATTTTGTGATGCAACTTTTCAAAGTCATTAGGAAATGGTGCATGTCACATTCAGCTTCGAATGATACTCAGATTGAATAAAGGCCGAGTCTGGTTTTACATAGATAGGACATCGCAAAGGGTTCCATTATTTGTTCAGTGCACTCAACAATATATCAGCTGAATGGTTTTTGAAGCATATTAAAAGTCTTCCAACATTACCTTCATATGGGTTCATTGTTGGTGTATTTGTTCCCATGTTTGGGAACCCCTGACATCAGCCTTTGTTTGTGCTTAACTTTCATTTTGCCACCATTTTTCTAATGCACTATTTGCAGTGTAATATTTAAGCTATATATTATTCTACATGTAAACAACAATGCATTTGGGTTCCGATGTGAACTGCTGTGGGTAGTGGTTATGTACACCCTTGATATTTTTCCAGATCATCATATATTTGATTAATGGAACAGATTTCATTTAGCATAGAGGTCTCTGTGTTAAAATGTGTTAAGTTTTGATGAGGATCCTGAATATGACTGCTTCACTAATCACATAGATGCTTAGTGATTGGGTTCTGCTGTCCACTGCACAGATCAATTCCCTGAAGAAAAACACCTTGAGTACACAGAAAGGCCTGTGTGAGTGAGGCGTCGCATAAGCAATTACATGGAGATCGTGATCGGCTCCCTTTGAGATCGATTTGAGGTGCATCAGTCAGCTGAACCACAGCTCTTACTGGATTTGACCAAGCAGTCTGGAATACCTGGACCTCATCATTAACATGTAACAGGCCATTTTAGCATGGAATGCAGCTTTTTGGAGTAGTTGGGAGTTTGGTATGGTGTGAGATTTCATGCAGACCAAATACCAGACCCAAATACCAGAGGATGGCTTCTCATTCCACAACTGTCTTGTAAACAGTTGCTTTTAGATTTCTCAATAGCTTAAATTCAATTTCTTACTCAATCATACATTGCAAAAAGTTATTTTTGTTAATTTTGCATTGTTTCATTTAAAGTATTTACATAAGTGGAATAGAACCAGTTAAATTATTTGTTACTACAAGAAATAACTTTAAGGCTGAACTGATGCACTTTTTTTTACAGTGTATGAAGATTGTGATACTGTCTTTAAAAAGAAGTTTTGATACTGTATATACACAGCAAACAAAGCTGAAAATCTTCAGATTTCTAACTACTGATTCTGAGAAGGCAAAGCAAGGCAAGGCAAGTTTATTTCTATAGCATCTTTTATAAACTGTGATCATTCAAAGTGCTTTACAAATCATAAAATACAAAGATAATTCATATTAGTGATTCAAATTTGAATAGCAAATAAAACATGATTAAAACAATAGATTTTAAAAGAAGAAAAGAATCCTTAAAATTTAAATTCAAAATAAAAAATGTAATTAGAATAATAAAGTGCCGTCACAGGAGAGAAGTGCACTAAAGCTAACAGTGTTTTAAACTAAGCTGAAAGCCTGCTCAAATATCAATGTTTTAAGCCTTGATTTAAAAGTGTCTAGTGTCAGGGCTCTTTTTAGTCTTTATTTTCAGCAGGACTAACTGGCTAGTTTCTAATTATCTGAGAGTTCTGTTAGGAGACCATTACAGTAATCAGTCCTGCTAGAAATAAAGGCACAAATGAGTTTTGCCAGGTCTGGTTTAATCAGAAAATCTCTTTTTGTTGAACATGGTCGATGTTCTTAAGGTAATAAAATGCTGATTTAGTGACTGCTTTGACCTGACGGCTAAAACTATGATCGGAGTCCATTAATACACCAAGGTTAAGTGCTAGTTCCTTAGATTTTAGGGCTCTTGAGTCCAGATAGACAGCTAGTCTGTGCCTCTCGTTGCTATTCATAAATAAAATAATCTGTTTCGTTTTTTATTATTTGCAGAAAGTTTTGTCTCATCCAGTAAGTGATGTGCTCAAGGCACTTACAAAGTAAATCAAGGAGATTAAACATGTATAAATTGTATGTGTATTAAACATGTATAAATTAAATAAGAGCAGCCCAAGAATTGAACCCTGGGGGACACCACAGGTCACTGGCACTCTTTCAAAGACATTATTTTCTATTTTGACAAATTAATCCCTTCCTTGCAGGTATGAACAGAACAATTTGAGGACAGTTCCGTCACAACTGCAGCTTTTAATGTGTTAGGAAAAATGCCGACATGAGTGAGGTGTTTACTATCTGAAGTATGTGTGCTGCTATTGAGTGAAACACATTCTTTAAAAAGTTGGTTTGTAACGTGTCAAGACTACAAGTGGGTGATTTGAGATGACGATTAGAATTTTATTATTAGTAGCACTAAACTGAGACATTTTAACCATGATATCTTTATATGGTAATGGAGAGAACATGGGCTTGCCTGATATCTGGATTTTGCTGTTAAAAAATATACGAACTCATTAACTCTCTCAGTTGATTCTAGTTCAGGGGCATATATGTGGGTGACTTAGTTTGTTGACCATGGCGAAGAGGATTTTGCTGTTGTTAATATTATTGTTGATAATGCTGGAGAAGAAGAATTGTCCAGCTTTGCACATTATTGTGTTGCAATTATGCAGCCTATCTTTGAAGATTTCTTTGTAGACCTAAAGCTTGGATTTATACCATCTGCACTCAGGCTTCCTACAAACTCTCTTTCGGGCTTGAACTGTAGTAGCATTCCTCCATAGTGCTTTTTGTTGGCATGGTATGTTTTTAACTTTAACTGGTGCAATTTCATTTATAACGCTGACAATTTTGTTGGAGCTATCCAGCAAAGCATCAACAGAAGCAGATGCAGAGGTGCAGAGCACATTTTGCTCATGTAAAGTGTAGCTGTGTTGTCATTTATAAACCTTTTATTAAAGCAGATGTCTCTTAATGTCTAGTAAGGTCCATATTTCAAAGAAAACACAGTAATGATCTGACAAAGCGACATCTTTAACAGTGGCTGATATTTTGAGACCCTTTGAAATAACCACATCCAGAGCATGACCATGACAGTGTGTGCTCACAATCACATGTTGAGTCCAAAAAAGTCCAATATGGAACAGAATTCCTTGGCATAATGGTCATTGGGATTGTCAATATGTATGTTAAAATCACCAACAATAACAAAATGATCAAAATCTATGGAAATAAAAGATAACATATCTGTCAATTCATCCATAAAATGTACTCCCTGTTCTTTCTGTTTCTGATAAGTACTGGAATAGGAGAGATTACTGGCACCCAGGGTCCCCACTTATTTTGAAAACATGTACTGCTGACTTCATCGCTGTAGCAGCATGGACCCAAAATGTATCATTTTGCCAGATTACTTGAAGATGGGGTGACCTTTTCCCTTTCTGTGAAGGAAGGTGGATGAAACACCTGCTGAAGATGAGGTAAACAGCGAAGCTGCCTTACCTTTGGTTGAGGAGCTTGTGTCTTTCTTGGTACAGGTGGTACAGGTGTTGACAAGCTCTGTTTAATAGAGAGTAAACCTATATCAGAAAAATGTATAAAAAATAGTATATAGTATAAAAGTATTAGAAACCTCATATTTTTGTCCAATGTGCATTTATCTTCCGAATATCGCTGGATCCTCTGATTTATGAGGTCGTTTAGTAGTCAAAATATGAATAATGCTACATCCCTACTACAGGCAAGCTAACACTTCTGTGCATTGAA